CTTCTCAAGAGGTCCGTGTTGCTAGAGGTTAACGTTCTTGCAGGTGGAGCCACTCCAGAGTTAGGGTGCCCCACATCCACCATCTTTTTTTCTCCGCGGAGATTTTGGGAAACTCAGAGGCTATCGAATTGGGGGTTGTGACGGCTAATGGCACGAGCTGGAACAGCATCGCCAAGTTTTTGGGAGTTACCTCGGCGCAAGTCGTGCTTGTGCAGGAGCACGAGATGATTTCAGCTGAGGAGCTCAGGAAGGCTTCCACCTGGTGCGTGCGAAACGGAGTGAACGCCAGCTTTGAACCAGGGACCGTGGGCCCTGGATGGGCCCCCCTCGGTTGGGGTCGGGGTTCTGGCTCGGTCCTTCCTGGGCATGTACCACCCCGATTTTTTGGGCCCACTACTCGGAAACATAGGGCCCTCGGAGCCCTCGTCCACCTCCCAGGTCAGGCATCGTTTGTTTGCGTCACTGTCTACCTTGAGGACTCAACGATTTAATTCAGGCCATCCTGGCGGGTGTAGCAGCGCGCGACAAGAGCTTGCCCTTGCCGTTCCTTGTAGGCGCGGACTTCAACGCTGCGCCGTCGGCGCTGGCCGGCACGTTCGTCCACGGGCGCGCGGGTGCGAGTCTTGTGTGTCCTGGGGGCATCCAGGGCACGTGTCGCAGCTCATGGGGGCTCGAAGATGCACGAGTTCTACCCGCGTTGTTCGAGATTGGCGCAGGCCGCCAAAAAACGTGAAGATAGTGATCGAGTCGGAGTTAGCGGCGCGTGACCCTGTCTCTCTCACTTTCCACCCTTCTCTTGCCCCCCTGAAAGCCCTCGCTTTCAGACGCCCCCCCCCCCCCCCCCCCTTCCCGTCCCAGCGGCCCTCGGAGCCCTGCCCCGAGCCCCCTCCCGAGTGGGAGTTGCTCGGTGGGATGGCCCCCCGGGCCCTTGCTGCGGCCGAGAATGGGGATGTGGATCGGGCCCAATATCACCTCGACACCATGCACGAACACTGGGCTAACACGGTCGAGAAAGAGCATGAGGGAGTTTACCAGCGCCGCCTTTCACGCCGCGGCAGTCGTGGTCGGCAGGCGGAGCTGCGTTGGGCCAGCGCGCTGCAGCCAGGGACGACGAGGATGAAAGGAGCGTCGCCCGCTTCTCGCCCGGCTTCGCAGTTGCGCTGGCTCAGCAGCCGTTTCAGGTCATGGTTGCAGCTGCGCGCCCTTGGGGCGTTGGCTGATGATGCCCACCTCTCCTCCCCAAGTTTTGCTCGTAGCGAAAAAAAAAACGTCATCAGGGCACTCGGGGGCTTGCAAGGCAGCCCCGGGGCACAGCTCGGCGCGGGCCAGCCACCTCTCTGCCGCGGCTACCGAACTTTTCAACCCGCCCGCCAGGCTGAGCGAGTGGAACGGCGAGGCGTCTTCTCTGCTGCAGCGTTGTCAGGGCGTTGTGACCCGCGGCCCCCCTGGCCTGGCAATCGTTCCTGGGGGGCCCGAGTTCGCCTTCGACGCGGTCTCCCAGGCCCGAGCTGTGGCCGAGCGGGATGCCCGTAATGAAGACCACGAGACATTTATTCTTTGGCTTGAAACGAATATTGAGTCAGGGGCTCGCCACGCCCATGGCGTGGTCAGGGGGGCCCCCGCCTGGGCCCCATCCGCTGCCCTTAGCGCCAAGGGGGAAGTTGTTTCTGACCACAGGCCCTCCTAGCCTCTGAACGTGGTAAGTGCTCGGATCTGGCGCGCCGAGGATTTTCGCACCCGCCCGTCAGCGGTAGGCAGGTTTGAAGTTCTCGACCCGTTGCCCGAGCTCGCCCCCGACGACCTCCGCCTTGCGTCTCGGTCGTTTCCCAAGCGCGCTGCGGCGTCGGCCGACGGCTTCCATGTTAGCAACTTCCAGCGCCCGTCGGATCAGGCCCTCATCGTTCTCACTCATATGATCGCCACGTTCGAGAAGTCAGGTCTCCTGCCGATGCAGACGCGGGTGCCATTGCTAATCGTGCATGCCAAGCCCGACGGTGGTCACCGCCACATCGGGCTAGTCGTTTCACTTCATCTTCTCTGGGCACGGGCCCGTCTTGATCGCGCCTGCAGGTGGGAAGCGGCTAACGCGCGTGATTGTTTTGCGGCTGGTTCCTTCGCCTCTAGCGTGGGCGCGCTCTGGCGGCGGAGCGTGACAAGCGAGAAGGCTGTTTCACCCGATGTGTGTTCAAGCTCGGTTATTTGGGGCCTTCTGAAGTTGTACGAGTCGGTTGACTTAGATGCGTTACTCCAGCGATGCCGCCAGCACGGGTTCCCCATGCGGATCGCTCGAGTTTGTGACGTGGCCTACCGCGCTTGCCGCTGCATCGCCATGAGCGGCGGGGTCGAGGGGTCCAAGTTCGCATGGCGCGGCATCGTGGCAGTCTGCGGCTTCGCCACGACTTCCACTCGCGTCTTTAGCTTAGCTGCCCCATGGGCGGGCTCAGTCTGCCAAGATCGGTCTCTGTGAAGATCTACATTGGCGATTGCACCCCGTCCTGCCAAGGGGGCTGCGACTGCGACTGTAGTCGTTAATGACCTTCTGGAAAGGAGGCCATCAAGCTTCAGACTGTCATCGGGGGCGATCCTGGCTGCGCGATCGCTATCGAGAAGGCGGCTGTGGCCGCCTCGATGTCCTCTGTTGCTACGGCGGTCCGACAAGGTCTCGGTGCTGTGGGCGGAGCGCCGTGCGGCGCTGCTGTCGACATGGGCATCGACGATGCCGCTGGCAAGGCCCCGTCGCGTCGCCCGTCGAGGACGGAGGATCAAGGTTCGTTGTGTCCAGTTTTCCAGGAAGACTGAGCGTCTGTTCCGTCGCAAGAAAACCGTCGGTCGTCACTCGCGTCGAATCTTCGCGACGGGGCCCTTCGCCAGCCGCACCTGCGGGCGCGAGGTGCACGGTGCCTCGGACCACGAGCTGTTCGCGCTCAGACGCGCCATGGGCCGTTTCCTGCCGCCGTCTGCTGGCGGGAGATCTCTCGCGGCAGCTATGTTGTTTGCAGCCGACCCTGCCTGGTGCGCCGCGGTCGCCTTTATTGTGAGGTGCTCTAAGGAGATGTGGGCCAGCCTGGTGGGGGCCTATCAGTTCGGCCTGTCTGTGGCTGAGCTGCGCAGTGCCTGGGCTGGGGGTTTCTCGGGGCCCCTGCTTCCCCGGCGCAAGATTCGGGGACCCGCGGGGGCCCTGGGGCTTTCAGTGGAGCGTCTTGGGTGGGAGATGGTGAGTTTCAGCGCGCTCGATGACGTCTTGGGTGGAGAGGTCTCTCTCGCGCCGGTCTTCCCGCGCCTCCTGAGACGCCTCCTCCGTTCGGCTGTGCATCGTAATTTGGAGAGGGACTATGGGCGGCCCCTCTGCCTTGATTGCAGACTCTGCTTTGACGTGGCCCTTGCGGCCGTGAGTTCTTTTAAGCCCACCCCCTTCGAGAAGGGGGCCATCCGCGGCCTCGTCTGTCAGGCGCCCTGGACCAAGGCCCGCGCCGAGGCCCGCAGGCACATCCTGCCCGACCTGCCCTGCCCCTTGCGCGGCGTGGCGCAGGGCGCAATGTTTCGCAGGCTTAAGTGCTGCCAAAGCGAGTCTGCGAGCCAGCTTCGCGATCAGGTACTCGGAGAGGACTTCGAGTGCAGGCCAGGTGATTTTAACGCGCTGTCGGGGCCGACAAGGTCTTGTGCGCGCTGGGGTTGTTTTCTCTCCCTGGCGATTTCTTCCCGTTCCCGTCTAAGCGTGAGCCGTCTTTCAAACGTGTTGATTATCCGGAGAATGACAGTTATCGCGTTTCTGGTAATATATGCATGGGCGGGTCGTGTGTAAGATCGGTCGTCAAAGAACTTTCGAGGGCGGGATGGAGCTTTGTCTCGGTGTATGACTCTGGGCAGGAGCTAGGACATGTCTACGCCCCCCTCCCCTGCCCGATCTTCCAAACGGCCCAAGCTGGGGAGTTTGCTGCCTGCGCTGCTGCGTGCCAGAATGCTGATGCCCCTGCCCAAGGGTACAGCGACTGTCAGCAGGTTGTTTCTTTGTGGACTCTCCCTAGACGCGAGCACTCATCTTGCAAATGCGTGCACTCGGGAATGTTTGTGTGGACCACAGACAGTCAAATGGGGCCCATCCACAAAGTGAAAGGCCACGTGACCGAGGAATCTGTAGGTGATGACGAATACCTCAGATTCTGTCAGGCTGGAATTGGCCTGGCCGGCCACTATGCTAAGCTCGGAGCGTTGGCGCACGAGAAGCCGACCCCCGATCAGTCTGAATTGCTCGACAAGTGTCTGGCCATCGTGCGGAAAGTGTTTGATCTGTCAGCCCGCGGGCTGCCTATCTGGCCTGCGTGCGACCTGTTTGAAACCACCCGTGCTCCCGTCGGGCCGCCACCTGTGACAACCTGGGTTCCACACCTCTGGAGGAATATATGTGAATTTCGGCATCGCAACCACTGCCTCGCTGTTTGCCGCGGGGTCTGGCCCCGCAATAATTCGAGTTATTCAAGAAAATACAAGCTCCAGGTTGACATCCTTGATAATCTGGGGCACAAGTGTCTGGGACTGGCTTACTCGGATGGCGGCATCGTTTGTGTCTGCGTTCGGTGCAAGGCTTTTTCCGCAGGCAATTATGTCCGCTACCTGGCCAGAGAGCGCCCAGGTAGACCTCGCAACCTCAGGAGTTCAGAATATTCTTTGGGACCGCATATGCGCTGGCAAGCACCCCGAGTCCCAAGTCATCGGATGTCTGGCTTGCCGTGGATGCTAACAGCGCGATGTGCCTCTTTAGTGTTTCCTGAGGCCGTGTTTCGGCCCAGCCTCTCGGTCTCGTGCTGCGGGGGCATGGCCCTGATTGGCGGCACGTTGGCACGTACGCACGCGTGTGCCAGCGTCCAAGTGCCGTGCTCGACGGCCGCCTGACTCCCGGAGGTTGGACCTACTGCGGGATGCCGTGGGAACACAGCGTAGCGGTAAAACACGTCCTCGTCCTCGTACTCGTCGGACGGCCGGCGCTTCGGGCATGGTCACAGGCCACGCCGACGAGACCGTGCGCGTCGAGGCCCTCGCCGCGCTGCGGCAGCTGGAGTCGGCAGGCGTGCCGGCGCGCAGGCGGCCGCCTCCTTCGGCGCTTCGCGGCCGCCGCCGCCGCCGCCGTCGCCGGCCGCTGCTGAGGGGCAGCGGTAAAGGGCGTGCCAGCCTGCAGATGGGCTCGGTGAGTGTACGCCACGTCGATCGGTCGACCAAGGGGCCAATGGGTTTGGCGGGGGAGTTCGGTGTATAGACACTCCAGCGTTCCACAGGTTGGGCAGCTGGGGCGTCTGTACACCGAGTCTTGGAAAACCAAACGACATGGTGTGCATTGTATATGTGTCGAGCCCTTCTCACAGATTTGGGCTGCTTTCCAGCAGCCGCGCCTCGCCGCGAGCGTCCTTGGGGTGCCCGAATCGTCCCGAGCGGCTGCGAGAGACCCGAGTTATGAACCCAAAACCAGACGGCGGGTAGCATTCGGGTCGGGCAACGACAGGGGGTGATTGCCCCAGGGGGGGAACGTCGATCCCAATCGCCCGTGCCTCGCTGATCGGAGCTTGGGTGCCCCGACCTGCCCAGGAACGCGGGGTTTCCCCATTGGCGGCCTGCATCGCCGATTTATCGACGATGTGTCGTTAATTATTGCTTCTCCCCCTGAGCCAGCCCTCCCCCGCTCGGCTTCCCTCACTTCGCTCCTCCGCCGCCGGTCGTCGTCACCACCGCCGCCAGTCGCCGCCGCCTCCAGTCGGTCGCCGCGAGTCGTCCGTCGTCCGTCGTCCTTCGTCTGTCGTCGCCATCGTCGTCGTCGTGTTCGTCGTCGTCGTCGTCAATCCATAATCGAGGTTTGAGGATGTCTTCTGTTTGTTGTCGGGGCACCAGCGGGCTGCAGTGGAGACCCATGTCAAGAATCACCCTGCTTGCATCCAGGGTGCCTGTGGTTTCGAGGCTTTTGCGATGGAACCCGCGACGCTCCCACACCAAACATCGATGGGCATTCTGGTGTCTGTAGAAGGTCTCTTGTGGTCGAGCTCCTACTGTACTCGTTGCCCCATGGCCGGATGCCTTTTTATATTGTGGTCAGAGCGTGCCCCAGGAGGGTCCCTGGGCAGACTCTTTGATGGGGACGGCCCGCACGTCCACAGAGGCTGGGCGCACAAGATCAGAGGAGCAATAAGCATTGATAGCGACACGCTCCACGATTTCCAATACTTCTGACAGTTCCGCGCAGGCTCCACGATTGAGGCCCGCTAGATGCTCTGGACTCCCTGGAGCGCATCCTGAGCCAGTCGCACTTTTCAGAGGAGCGCACCGCTGCCACCTCCGTGAGGGGTGCAGGAGGAGCTGGTCTGCGGGTTGCGGGCGTGCAGGATGCCCCGCGAGGCCGCCCAGCCAGGTCTGCACGTCTGCACCCCTATCGGGAGCAACCGTCGGGGGGGGGACAGGCTCCGGGGGGGATGCATCGCCTCCCAATCGGGGCCGCCATCTCTGGAGCACCCCTATCGGGGGCAACGTTCGGGGGGGGACAGGCTCCAGGGGGGATGCATCGCCTCCCAACCGGGGCCGCCGTCGTCAGGCCGCCAAGGCCGCCGTGGCGGCGCGCCGTCCAGGAGCTCCCGACCGTGACAGGGCCTTCCCCGGCCGTCGCTTCCCAGTGGGACGGCACCCGCCCAGCGGCGCACAGCGCCAGGAAACCGTGACGAAGCGGGGGCTGAAACTACATCCAACGAAGTGCAAGGTGCAGACAAACCGCGTAGGCGGCGCACAGCGCCACTCGCGCCTTCGAGGATGACCGAGCCGAGCCCTCTGCCCAGCGGCGGGCAGCGCGGCAGTCTCCATCGGCCACTCATCGCCAGTGGGGACTCGATAGCACCACAGCGCCCAGGAGCGTGCGGACTTGGATTCGCCATCGGGGGCCTGTCGCCGATCCATCGGCGATGCGCCTGTTTTTTTCTTTGGGCCGCCCCCCCCCCCTAACTCGGGGGCCCCAAACGGTGCGGTAACCCCGCGTGGGGCGAGCCCGCCAGGCTGCGGGGTCACCGCACGGCTCTGGGGCTCGGGGTCGTGCTCCGGGGAGGTCTCGGACCCCTGGGGGCCTCCGGGGCCCCAGGCCGTGCGGCGGAGAACCGTGCAGTGAGAGGTCGCTCGGGAGTTCGAGGTTGCCCGCGCGGCCCTTCCCCTCCCCGTTCCCCCTCAGCTCGGCGGCCGCCGCCGCCTGTCCGCCTCGCCTCGCCGCGCAGGCGCGAGCTCGACTCCATCGGGGCGCGCCTGGTGGGGAGAGGCCCGCACCCGGGCGGGCGGGCGCCTATGGGGGGCGGCTTCGCGTCGGCGTCTCGGGCTGCGTCGCAGGAAGTGCCGTCGGCACTACCCAGACGCATACTCGTACGTACCGATTGTGCGCTGGCCCCGCGAGGGCGACGCGCACGCTCAGAAATCGTACAGTATAAGCTGGACACGATGCACTCTCAGTTGTTTGTATTATCTGTTCGGTTCGGACGTGCGCCTCCAAGGAACGTTCTGGAACGCTCTCAGAGCGCTTCGGAGCGCTCGGGAACGGCTGCGGCGCTCGAAACCTCCTCCAGAACAGTGCGAGCTCTGAGATCTCCGTCTTTAGGTGGGTGAGGACGACCGCCGGGGTTTCGGGTTCAAGGTTTTCGGACGTTTTCCTGGGTTCCCGATGGTTTTCCAGCCTCGGGATGCTTTCGGGCAGCTACGCCATGCCGAGAGCATTCCGGGTCTGCCTGGATCGTCCCGACCGGCCGCTGGAGAGCCGAGTGATGACCTGAAAACCAAGGGTCAATGACAGGAGAAGGATGTAGGCTCAGAGGAGGACAATCTACCGAAACCGCTGCTCGTCCTGCAGAACCTTCGTCGCCACGGCTGGATTTGTTTCGAAATTCAAGTCAGAGAGCTCCGTTTGATATGTCCGAGGAGCAGCGGTATCAGTATTTTTTGCTTCCCCAGAAGGTGAGTGATCGAGGGGAGAAACACGATGACCATGACCGAGATGTCGCGGGATCTTGTCTTCGTTGGTCTTGGTCATGGACATGACCAATACTGGCGTATCGGTGATTCGGCGACGGCCAGCATGCACCATGATGGTCCATGCCGGCCGTCGCCGAATTGACGATAGCCACAAAGGACGAGTACCAAGATCGACACCGACGTTCCGCCGTTCTGTCTTGGTCATTCTCATCGTGCTCTCTCCCTCGGGGTCCGGACTCGTGGGTGCGGGGCATCGCCACCGGCTGTATGCCGAGCCAGCCCCCCCGATCTCGTGACCCCCCTTCTCCGCCCTGCTTCCGCGCGGTTCCGCCGCTCCCCCCCCCCACCCCCCCTCCGTCCGCGCACGAGCCTCGGGCCACGGCGCGCCGACGCCCGCCCTCCCTTCTTGGCCCCCCTCTCCGGCGCGCCCGAGGAGGTGGCCCTCTGCCGAAGTGGCCCTGGGAGGTGCGGGCCCCCACTGCCGGGGGGCGCAGGCACCGCGCTCGCGGAGCACCTCAGGTTCTGAGCGTGTCTCCTCCCGCCTCCTCCCTCCGCGGCCGCCCTCGAGGAAAAACAAGCTGAATCAGCACCCACGGGCGATGGTCCGCGCGCGCATTCCTTGGATCGTCGCTGGCCTCCCTCGCCTCTGTGGCGACGCCCCTGGCGCGCTCCGCGAACCTTGGGGGGCGCTGAATGAGTATATGTACATGTCGCTCTTTCTTCTTCTACGCCCTCCTCCTTCTCCCGCTGCACGGTTGCACAAGCTAGTCCGTGGCCCATTCTGGCCAGAAAGCGCTGTGTCCAACATCGCTTCGACAGAAAAAGACCGGGCCCACAGACCCCCTGGTCGGCAACCCTCCAACACCGTAGCACGATGGCTCAATCTCCTCGGGTACCGGCTGAGCTTTCGCGACCGTCGAACGGGACACCCAGCCACGTCCAACATGTGCAAGGCCGAGCTGCTGGTGGGGCGAGCGCACTGGGACGAGGACGGTTTCAACGTGACTCTGGAGATGCTCAGGGCCAGGCTTCGTCAGATCTACAAGGCCACGCCTCTTGGTGGAGCACCAGTCTGCCGCGAGAAGCATGCCGAGCTCGTAGCGGACGCGACGGCCATGGGGTGCGTGCTGAACGGCAAGGAGACCAGAGGGGGAGTTCCAGATCTTGATCACGGATAAGTGCGAGCTCGACCTGGCGACGGTCGAAGGCAGCGATGCGATGCCATCCGGCAGGCACTTGGGCAAGACGATCCAGCCGGCTGGCTGCTCAGTATGGGCAGCCTTGTTCCCAGCGCATCACGGACTGGTTGGCCCCCCAAAGGACCCAGCCTGAAGACGCGGTGAACAAGTCGAAACTCGACCTTCCGCAGCCGAAAGTCAAGGTGGATCATCTGGAAAAGTCCGACTCCGCGGCTCCTGGTTAAGGAGCAGTCCCTTTGGCGTCCGACGGCAAAACGCTCCGTGCAGGTGGGGTCCAACGAAATGGGCGCGACATCGAAGTCCAACGTGGACGTGATCATCGACATCGACCTGCTGGGCGACGTGAAGATGGCGACGAACGCGTTGGCGACAAGGGCGCAGAAGGTCGGGGAGAAGGGCTCGCCGTCGAGCGGCCCATCTGGGCCGGGCGAACCGGTCAGGTAAAAGACCTGGCCGGACCGACTCCCAGACTACCTGGCTGGCGGCGGAGTGCGACGCCAGCGTGGACGCTCCAAACTGGGACTGCTCGGGCGATCCCGAGGGGCGTCTGGGCCTCTCCAGCATCGCGATGCAGGGATCAGGGACGGACGGCGCGCTGCGAAGTAACGGCTGGCAGCTGGAAAGGTTTTGATTTATCTACCACTATTGGGCCGCAGAAGGCCAGAGGTGAGCGAGATCGAGTGCGTCCTATTCATATGTGGTGTTCTCTTCCTTGCGGGCCATGGTCTGGGAATCCGAATTTCAATTTACATGAACCAGAGGTCTGGGGGCGGGTCCTGCAGAACCGGGGGAAGTCCAAGCAATTGATCCGCAATTGCCTAACTCTGGGCATGGGCCAGATAGCGGACTCAGAGCACATGCGTTGGGCATGGCCCACGGGTCTCCAGCCTCGCCGATGGTCAGAGCTGTAGCAGGTCTTCCAGGCAGGAGAGCTTCAACCCGTAGTGCGCGACGGCTGTATGCTGGGCGTTGCGGCCCGAGATATTGGACTTCCAATGGTCAAGCCGCGGGAAAGCTGAATTACTTCGGGGAAGCTACGTCGGCGGATGTCGGCCAGATGCCACGGGCGGCACGAGCGCAGCCTTTGTGTCGGTGGTGCCGGGGCCGCGTCTTCAGCGCGCTATCCAGGGCAGTTCGTTCGGCGCGCTGTTCGGGCCATGCTGGAAGGGCCTTGGCGGAGGAGATCTGCCACTTCGCGCGGGAGTTTGCGGCCGCGAATGAGGAATTGGCATCTCGATGCGTCGGAACAGAAGATCGACCGCGCCGAGTTGTGGAAGATCGAGGCCGCCGCTGGACACGTCCATGCTGCCTGTGGCCACTGCCCGTTCGCCCTGGCGGCCAGGTCTCTGGCGGCGAAGGCGCTGACAAGCGGATCGCGGGGCGCGCGAAGAAAGCGCGGTGCCTGGCCTGCGAGGAGAGCCGGCAGCGCGGACCGCCCAGACCCGTGGGATCCGCCGATGCGGTGCCGAAGAAGTGGGCGGCGCTGCAGAGCGACCTGGCCGAGTGGGAGAACCCCTGCAGCAATGGGAAGTTCAAGCTGGCGTTGTACCTGGACATGGGATCCAGGCTCGGTGCGAGGCGCATGCAATTCCAGATGGTCAAGAGTCGGAGCGCCGCAGCCGAGGGCCTAACTCCTTTCGGAGCCGCTGGATCGCAGATTGGGGGCGTTTTCGGGCGTTTCAGGTCGATCCCGAAGGGGCGTGGATGAGCAGCGCCAGCCGCGAGTGTCTCGAGGCCAGCAGCATCCAGTTGGATCCGACCCCATGGCCAGGCCCACTGGAAGATTGGTGGATTCGAGCGGCTGGTCGGACTTACCCAAGATGCCATGATGGTTTTGGCGCCAGGGTGAACTGGGCGCGCTTGCGAGGGGGACCTGGCCAGAGCCGTGGCCGCCTACGACGAGCGCGATCGACATCGAGGTTTTTCTCTCCTACAGGTGGCGCTGGGTCGAGCATCGCATCTCGATGTTTCCAACTTCGACGCTCCAGGTGGCCCCGTGAGCTTGCCGACCCTGGGGTTAGATGCGGTGGGCGCCGAGTTCGGCCAGAATCCAAAGTTCGTGCGACAGGCCTAGGGGCGCTCCACAGATGGGCCCACGCAGAGAGTTCGAGGCGAGCAGCTCGCGCGAGGTCTGGGAGCCGCAGGTCTACGCGCCAGGCATTCTCGCCCGCTGCTGCAGGATTCCGAAGAGCAGCTCCATGACGGGGCGCTTCTACGGGCCAGCTCGGGCACCTGGCCAGCGAGACGGTACATGGGCGGAGAAGCTCAAGCCTTCCTTCGGATGTGACTGAACGCATGCGGCAGGCTCATAAGGCGCCAGCTCGGGGGCGCCCCTGGCCGCGAGGTGGCCGAGCACGAGATTGTCCATGGTGCTGAGCTACCCTGGGCGTTCAACCATCTGACGAGCAACTATCGACCAGGGCAATATGAGGACCTGGCGGGCGACCCGCGCCTGATACCGAGCGGCGCGGAGTCTGCCGATGCTGAGCAGAGTCCTCCACCGCCGACGGCTAGATGAATGTTCTCAGCGGCGACGCATCGTTAGGGGGAGGTCGCCTCTGGAGCTGGGGTCAGTCGCTAAGCGGCCGCGAACCGACGCAGCGATCAGGGGCCAGCCGCTGCTGCCCACTCGAGTTGCAGCGCCAGATCCTGGGCCGCTTCCGCGAATCCAGCGAGACCGCCGAATGTGTCCAAAACGACGCCGTGGAGGACATCGCCCTATGTTTGGGAAGGTCTACCATCGGCTGGTTGGGCCGGTGGCGGCAGATGCGGCAAGGAGAAGACGCCTTGACGGCGGCCGCGCGATCGGGCGGAATAGCCAAATCTGGTGGCGGAGGTGCAACACGTCGAGTCTTTCTGGCAGATTCGGGAGACAGCCACCCAGGTCGAGATGGGCGCCCGTGGAGGTTCAGCGGCAAGAGGCCTGGCCGCGTTCGTGGCGGCGCAGCCTTGGAGACAGCGCGCCGAGGTCGAGGGGCGCGCTCTTTCCGCGGCGGACCTAGAGAAGTTCAGGCGGGCCAATACCGAGGGGCGCTGGAGTGGATCAAGGAGTTGGTTCGCGAAGCCCTACCAGACCGCGTCTCGGCGCCGGGCGACA